AGAAAATAAAAACTAAAATATTTCCATATATCTAAATTATTCTTAGTTTCCTGAAAGTCTAGTTATTGTCCCAACATAAAAACAAAATAATACCAGTTTTCTGGTCTTCCATGGAAAATAGAAGAGCACCTAAAACAAAATACTCTTTCTTTAGAGTCAGAAATTTTGTACATTCTCCTGATAGGTGGAATCAGGGTGGACCCCAAATTCACCTTATCTCACTTGAGCTGTGGTGTTAAAATTGCGAATATAAGAGGCTCAACTTTTACAGTTCTGGATAAGCTTTTATTTACTAAAAGGTGGCTTCAGATGTCACTAGAATATTAAAAACAGGCCCAATTTAAAAACTATATCTACAATGAGGTGGACCTTTTCCACATAAATCAACTGAGGAAAAAAAATATCAGGCAGAAAGGATCAGGTTGAAACGCCCTAGTCTGGTCAGAGAATCCTTTAATCTGCTCTTTGATGACCATAAGACCAAGTCTCAGCAATTCCCCTTTAAAGCAAACAGTTGGCAAAACCCAGAAATGACTCCTCAAGGAAGCATACATAATTGTTTTTAAAACCAGGTTAGAAAATTCATGTACTCTTGTCTTTTATAAAATAAAATATGTCACTGAAATGACATATTTGAATAATTAAACTTAGGAACTCGTCACCTACTTATAATGAATAGGGATTTTACTTTTTGCCAAAATACAGCTATGGTTGTCTAAATTACATATCCAAAAGGCTTTATGAATCTTTTAAATAGTAAAAATAATTTTAAACTATTTCTAATGCTTACAAGCTCTTTGTGTAGGTTATACTCAATAAAAGTAATAATTCTGTAAATTGACTTAACGACAGTCACAAGGTTTGTTTCTATGGTAACCAAATTCAAAAAACTAACCTCTTAAACATGGTTGTCATAGATTAAAGGAGGTGGCTGCCCATATTTGACGATTGCTTTTCTTTTTCATCTTTCCATGGCTTTTCTGTCAGCTTCTTTGGTTCTCATAAAATTACATACAAGACAGTTATGCAGGCTTTTTAACTCATATGCGAACATCTAATTCACATACTATTGTATGACACTCATCCCCATGAGACATGCCCAGTGACAGATCTTTTCTTCCTGCTACACTAAGCTAAAAGAAACACTAAGTAGAAAGGAACAGTATACAATGTGTTCAATGCATTTTTCAATTACACATGTACTTAACTGCCTCAAAATCATTGAATAGGATACTTTAGATAATAACATTGGTTAGAAAGTCAAAATTATGGTCAATAATTTTTAAAATAGTCCAGGTTTGAGTAATCCTCACATTTGGATTATCACTCAAAAAATGATCATATTTTAACTTGTATACATTCTCAAAGTGCTAGATCAATAAAAAAGACTCAATAGCAGGTGGTGTTGGAGTTATAGAGAACCTGGAATTCTCACATATTGCTGGGAAAATATAACACCATTCTGGAATATAGTTTGGCAGCATCATGTAATTTTAAATATATACTTGTCATTTGATTCACCAATTCCACTCTTAAATATTTATCCAAGAGAAATGAATACTTACATTCACACAGAGAAGTATAGATGAATATTGGTAAGAAATTTATTCATAATTGCCTGAGCTTAAAAGACTGATATTAGTCACTGTGGTAGACGCTGAGTGAAACTTCCCAAAGTGGTTTGCAGACAGCTGCTAGCTCTCAAGAGATGCAGCTTCTTCATGAGATGCAGAGGGTCAGCTTTGCTGAGGGCATGCCTTTCCGAAAGCAATGCACTTCTCTTGACTAAGCAAGGTGGCCATTTTGACTCCATGCGGGACATTCTGATGGGTAGCATTTGCTCTTAAGCTCTCTACTAGAGCTGACAGTTTGTTGGGTCTGCACTGCAATTCAACTTCTTCATCTTCCCAATCCTGTTTCTACTCCCTTCCACATGTATTGATCCCTAAGAACCTCTTACATTCAAATAATATCTCACTGTGTGCTTCCAGGGAATCTGGCCTGTGATGGATATCCAACTCAAACCTTCTCTCCACTGAATGACCACTTTCCACTGGTGCTAGGTCATCTTTCATTCTTACAGGCCAGGCTAAGTGATTACCCACGTTCTGAATAAAACACAAGTAACTAGAATTATATGTGAGTATGTACTAATAACCCAAAAGTGGGGGGTATATGAAAAAATACAGTTCTGACTTTTTTAGACCGGTCAGGATCAAATATTTTAGTTTTCTCATTACATTTGTTTTCACATTATTGCTTGTAAAGAAAGTCAGAAATGTTTCCATAGTGCAGAGGATTAGAGGAGATTTTATGAATATCTCTACATGATAATACACAATACCTGAAATCCACTTTCTCTCCCACCCCATCCTTTTTTAAAATGTTATTTATTTTTTTAAAGATTTATTTATTTATACAAGAACTGGGGTACAGGTCGGAGGTGCGGGAAGGTGAGAGAATTCACCAGAGATAGAGTGGGGAGCAGAACAGGCAGATGGAGCAAAGACACTGCTGAGGGGAGCAGTAAGTGTGACAGGAGAGGTCTGCCTCACCATGTGGGTTTCTCCCCGGTAGGTCAGGAATCGAGCCTGCACTGCAGAGGCTGTGGACAGCCTCACAATGCAGTGCTCAACCCACTGCACCACTGGGATGCCCCCCTTTTTTTAATATTGAAAAAAGAGTAACTTGCCTACCTCTGTGTAAAATAAAAAGAAATTCAGTGTGTTTGCTTATTAACTCTTAAATATCTTAACAAGGCTAGATGGAGTATAGTTGTTACTTTAAAACTTTTTTCCCCATTGAAGCTAGTTTATACAAACCTTGTAATTTTACCTTCACCTAAACCTCACATGATGATAGAGGCCAATGATTCAAACTCTTATTGATATTTCTTGATGTTCTCTAAATTTCTTGTGCTATTCTGTTCCCATCCCTCTATTTGTGGTGCTTGGACAGTGGTACGTCTGTCTTTAAAATATAAAGCTAAGACAAACTGTACTTTACATTTGCTACTACTTAATAAACATTAATAATATAGCAACTTCTTCATGCGGACATCAGGGAAAACAGGCCCCTCTATCTTCATCTGTTCCTAAGTTGCTGGTCCCAAAGCCCTGTGATTAGATAGGGGACATGACAACAGGCTTCAGAGATTTCAGCCAACCAGATAGGGTGGGCAGGTTCCCATCTCTGAGTTCCCTGAAGTCATCAAGAGTGTGAGCATCATCTTTTTCCTGAAAAAATGACACACCATGGCTTCATGAAGACATAGAATTGGATTTGCTTGTCTAGGAGTGGTGACTTGCTGGGAGCCTTTAATCTGAGCATTTAAAACGGTGTTTCTCAGACTTTAATGTGCGAAAGAATCAGCCAGAAAGCATGACAAAATCCCTGGCCCCAGCCCCAGAGACTCTGAATTCAGTAGATCTGGGCCAGGGCCCAGGAACAAGCCTTCTAGGAATTTCTAATAAAGATAATTTAAACTCATTGGGCTACAGTTTCCCTGTTGAGACTAAATGCATTATAAGGCCCTTTTGTGCCCCTGAATCTATACAACACAGTATCTGCACTGATTCCCTTAGCCTTCTCCCACTATCCACTCACATGGCAAATCACAAGCACAAGCATAACATTCAAAAGACATGAAAAAAAAATCTTCCCTCCCTGCTTGTAGTCACTCAGTTCTCCTCCATGGTGGCAACTATGATCGGTTTTTCATGTAACCTTTTAAAGATATTATATGAATTTGAACATGAATACAGGCATATGTATTTTTCTTCCCACAAATGATAGCACAGTTTTTTGCACATGGTTTCCCTCTTCACCTCCCCCCTCAGCTTAATATAGGTAGGAAATCTTTCATATCAGTACACAGATACAGATCTTCACTTTTTTAAATAGCTGGATAGCATTCCGTTGTATTGATGGTCTATAATTTATTTGAATGGTTCTATTAAAGAACAGTTGTTTCCACTCTTTGCCAGCACATACAATATAGCATTGGATGACCTTGTCTCATATCATTTCACACTCAGTATATGTGTAAGAGAAATCCCAGGAGTGGGATTCTTAGTTATTTTCAGAAATATTGCAAATTTTCCTCAGTGGAAGTCATAAAACATTTTTGCGAATCTGACAGGTGGAAAAGGCTATCTTGCATATTTAATTTTAAAGCTAGGTGAGCTTGACTATCTTTTCATGTACCTGAGCAGTATTGCATTTATTTTCCTGTGAACTCTCTCTTCATATCTTTTGAGATGATTTTAATAATTTATAAAAGGTATAGTCTGTTAACAGACAGATGGTCATATCCTGACCAATGTGACCTTGATGCTCTCTCTCTAACACACACACACACACACACACACACACACACACACGATACACACCTGTCACCTGTCTGTAGATTTATTAATCCAGTTATGGAATCTTAGCGTTGTTACTTGCTGTGCGACCTTGGGCCTGTTACTTAACCTCTTTGGGCCTCGATGTCAAGGCATAAGGTTTTTTCAACATGTTACAGAACGACACCTTTAAAACCAGGGAGTTAAAAAATAAATAAATAAATAAAACCAGGGAGTCAACAAAGTACAAGACTCGCTTCTCCCTCCGGGAAATCTTGCAGCAGGTGGGGAGGCCCGCGCCTAGCAACCAAACGGTGGAATCCGAGAGAGGCGCGGGGAGAGCGGGACCAGCCTCCTTAAAGCTCGGGTTCTCCCTTTGGAGAGAGCCATGTTCAAGAAATAAAAATCGAGCAAATAAGGAGCCACTTTCTGTGGCGCGACCCGCGCTTTCAGTCGAGTCTGGGGTTCCCCGGCGCCCTTCCCTACCAGACCGAGGGCGGCGCTGTGGCCCTGGCGGCCCAGACGCCGCGGGTGCGGGTTGCCCTGGGGGCCCGGGTGGGGGGGTGGCGGGGTGGGCCCCGCAGTCACGTGATCAGGGCCAGCTGTTAGGTGGGGGCGGCGAGACTGAGCGCCCGGAGTCTGGGGAGGGGGCAGTGCCCGACGGCCGCCTCCACCACTGCAGCAGCAGCCCCCGATGTCTCTGCAGTAACCGCGCGCAGAGCAGCACCCGCGCGCGCGGCGGCCGCGGCATCAGCACTGCAGAGCCCAGCCCGGAGCCCGCCAGCCGGCAGGTGAGTCGCGGCGGGCACCGACTGGAGCGCGGGGTGTCTGCAGCCTCTACCCCCGACCCCCCGCTCCCACCCCGAGGGTTTCAACCCATCCGCCATCTCGGTCTCCAGTGCCTCGTGGCATCCCGCTGTCCCTCCGCAACCGTGGGCAGCGCTACGGCAGGCGGAAACAAGCGGTGCCAACTCGGGCAGGCGGAGGTCTGTGGGGTTCAGGAAAAAAGTGCCCTCGGTCGGGGTCGGGGGTGACACAAGCTTGTGGGTTGCAGGGGCGCGGGAGATGGACTACCCTCCCGGGGGCACAGGCACTGCAGCCTGGTTGGAACCTGCTCCCAGTCTGCACACCCAGCCCTAGCCTTCAACTCATCTTTTGAACTCGCGTAATCTCTCCGGCTGCTTTCCCTGTGTTTCCTTCTAGCGGCCAAGTTGCTGCCTCCTAGGGTGTGTGCGTGTGCTCCCCCATCTCCGCCACCCCTCGGGCTGCTCCCGGGGTTCAGGGTTTTTTCCTGTGCAGCGTGGGTGGCCAAGCGGGCCTGTCACCTTCTGGGGAGGTAGTGCACCTGCGGGCTCTCGGCGATCATGGCTGCCTGGTGGGCCCGCCGCCCTTGACCCGGCTCTGCCCCGGCGTCCATCCGGTCGGCGATGGCAAATGGTGACCCAGGGATTGCCCTCTTCTTAAGGGCTAAAGCGCGGTCTGTCGCTGTAGTGTACACGGGCCGCAGGACTTGACACAACTTCCCCACAAATCGCCCCTGGGGCGGTTCTCAGAGCTAGAAGGATGATCAGGTCAGGTTAACCCGAAGACACCGGGTACGGGTTGGTGAAATGCGCTCCTGTATTTCTGAGACGGTAATTTCCTTCAATTTACCTTTGCGTGCAAGGCTCGCTTGTCTGCTTGGGCGCGGATTATTTGACTTTATTGCTGGTGGGGTCTGAGAAGAATGTGATCTGGTAAGCTGAAGGGAAGCCTGAACTTTAGAGAATTGAGGAGAACTAGAATTTAGGGATAGAAATGACACATTTAAGGAAAGTGTCATTTGCTGTGACTCAAAAATGATAGGATTCTATTAAATAATGCAATCATTCAGGATTTGCTGTTTAATTCTGGCTTGTCAGTGTCTTGAATTTCTTGTGTGTCCAGCTTCCAATGTTGTGTGTGTGCATGTGTGTGTGTGTGTGCGCGCCTGCCTACTGTGTTCCAATCCTGATCTGAAGATGCACGAGTTGCAGAGGAAGCTTATGTTAATTCAAGATGGCAGCATGATAAATCAGGCCAGCAGAAGCAGCACAAACCACAACTAGCATTAGCTGCCCCCTGACATAAGCCTGTGTGAGAGAATCTGGGAGAGGCAATGCTTTCCTGGGTGTCTGCAGCCAGCCCCAAGAGATAGGAAGTGATTCTTGCAGCAGAATAGATTTTAGGGTGTTGCAAGGTCCTGGGGAGGTTAAGTGGGCAGTTTGGAGAGCTATTATTATTTTCTCTAACTTATCAAAAACTGGTGCAAAGACGTAGCTAAAACTCTGGGATATTGTTCTGATTTTCTCCATGCTTCAGTAGAGTTGATGTATGTGACTGCTGAGGTCTATTTGATGCATAATTTCAGTGTTGTTTTGTGCATACAAATGGCTGCTAAAGGGATGAGTATCTAGTGTAAACGTCATCCCAGAACAGTACACATAACAAGCATCAGGTTATTATAGCAAGTTTTATTGGAAGAACAGATTTAATACCTTGGTTCCAGAAAATGATCAGTTCTTGAAAGGTGACTCATTTAAGGATTTTTTTAAAAAAATAAAACAACCTTTCTTTCCTGTTTCACGGCTGTGCTGCCAGCCATCTTCTCTTTGAGGAAAGAGGAGTTGCATGAGGAGGCAAGTGCTTCAGGGATAATGGAACAGAGGAAGATTAGTGCAAAGGTCAGGATTGGCAGAGCTGGAAGCAGCCTGAGAAAGCACTCTGCTGTCAACCCCCCCTTTTCAGCCTGGGAGCTGAATGCAGCAGAGTGAATGGACAGCCCAAAGCCATATAGCTGGTTGGCAACTGGCAGAGAGAACTGCAATCCAGGACTTGAAACTCCACAGTTCTGAGGAGCAGATGCCACCTTTTAAAGCTGGAGGGGGGAGGGCAGACCCTTCATTATTAGGATGGCAACAGTTAGAGCAACTTGACACCAAACTGTAATATGAACTAGGAGATTTATAACTACATAAAGTAAATCATATATTTCAGTTTTCTTATTCAAGCCCATTTGTCTTCTTAATCTCACCTCCACATTTTCCAGTGACTAGATTACTTCTATATTTAAGCATCAAAACCATCATATTAGGCAAAATCTTTGAGGTGAGAAGTGCATTATTTTGTTAAAAAATTAGTTGTACCTGTTTGTGGAGCACCATTAGGTTAATTTCTTTTCAAAAGAAACCAAAGTAGGACATATAATCACTTTTGATTGTATCTAATTTTAGTTGAGAGTAAATAACAATCCTATTTAAAAATAACTTCCAGGCAGCACTGATGACAGTGGCTTTTTCTAGAATTTGAATTTGAATTCGCCAAATCATCCCCAGATCTATTAAAGCAGAACTAGAAGTTGTGCACCTGATAGTGTTCTGCAGATTTGGTAAGGACATGGAAAGTATTTCTTCTGGGCATTCTGTACCTTTAATTCTGTCATCTGCAGAGGAAGGTGGACTGGTTGCTGAGAGTGGGGAGAATAATTTGAGATGGTGAAGCAGATAGCCGCTAGGTTTGGACAGGTATGTTGAAATGAAGACAGATGCAGATGCAGATATCACATGTGCTATTTAAAAAAATCTCTCATTAGAGCGTGAACTTCAGATTCATTCACTTAAATTTCCCTGATGTACCAAAGATATTTAAAATTACAAGTTTTTTAAAATCCAGAAGCACATACAATTTGTGTTTGTTGAAGAATAATTAAAATTATAAAGAAGCCTAAGTTATATTTTTAAAATCACCCATGATTCTTTTGTCCAGTAAAATCAGTCACTTTGAATGTCTGGGACCATTAACATTGGAGTAAGAACCTAGGTCTGTGCTGTCCAATTAGTAGCTACCAGCCACAAGCCATATGTGGCTAGTGAGCATCCGAAATGTGGCTAGTCAAAATTGAGAGGCTTTGTGAGCATTAAATACACACCAGATTCCAAACATTTATATAAAAAATAGAATTTAAAAGATTGCAATAAATTTATGCTGATTGTATATTAAAATAATACTTTGGATATATTGGGGTCAAATAAAATATGTTATTAAAAATAATTTCAGCAACTCTCTTCCCAAGACTGCCCGCCTGTGTCTATCCAGGCATCTTTTAATGAACCTGTCCCTTTCAAATATAGATCTCTGTCTGCCTATGTCTATGCAGGCCCCATCTCCTCTCTTTTTTTAAATTTAATTAACATGCCCTTCTGAATATAAAAAATAAAAGTAATTACACCAGTTTCTCTTTACTTTTTAAGATGTGGCTACTAGAAAACATAAAGTTACACATCTTCCATTATATTTCTGTTGGACTGTATTGATCCAGGACATTAACAGATAGTGGAGGTTGGTTGAAGCATGTGATGGTTTTCATGGAACTGGCCACATAGGGAGTGAAAACTTCAGCAGAATCTTGGTGGGGGGAGATAGGATGAATGGAGAAGGATTGCAAGGAAAAGGTATTTAGGGATATTTTGCAGATGGAAAGGGCAACTCTAGAGTGGGTTGGGACTGCTGGGTTATCAGAGTTATGAATCAAATAGAGTATGTGTTAAACCAGGGTTGGAAGTCAATGGAATTGGGGTTGGCAGCTGTTGTGGTGGTGGGACAGTCACCAACAGGGTCAAAGGGCAGATGGACTGGACTACACAGAGCACTGGAGAGCAACTCCAACCATTCTGATAGGTGGGTTCCACTAACACATCACTCATACACAGAGAGGTCTCCAGGCTGACGGTCAGGCAATCTGGGTCTGAGCTCTGGTTCTGCATCTAATTAGGCTGTAACTGAGCACGTCCCTCAGCAAGGAACTCATCAGTCTCCTTTTAAAAATGGGATGGGATGAACGAGAGTTGTTTACCAACTCTAATGTGGTTTCAGTGGGGTGAAATATGGCATATTAAAAAACACAATGGATTATAAGAATTTTACATTAATTTCTCACAATAATATACACCGAGATATCTCTTATTTCTACAATTATGCATACGAGGACAACAGAGAGAGCAACCTTCTTCTGGTTCTAACAACATAATTGCTCTAACATTTAATTTTTTTGAGTGATAATAATTTTTTGGACTAGGAGTGAGGTAGATATCTGGAAAGATATTTGGACTAGGAGTGAGGTAGATATCTTTCCTCCTCTTGCATCACAAATAGTCAATTACTCTAATATCATTTCTTGTGTAATATACCTTCTCACCTTGGTTTCATATTTAGCCTTCATTATATACTTATTTGGTATTTTGGTATATTTTTGGAGTCTCTACTCTGTTAATCTATTATTGCATTGGCCTCCCTGGTGGTGAGAGGGGTTAAGATGCAACCTATGAAGCTATCTGCAGCCACTGCAGCATGAGTTTTATCCCTGCCCAGGGAGCTACCCACATGGCACAGCAGACCTCTCCTGACTTGCCCACTGCTCCCCTCAGCAGTGTATTTCAGTCAATCTGCCTGTTCTGTTCCCCACTCTGTCTCTGGTGAATCCTCTCACCCCCCACACCTCTGGCCTGTACTCCAATTCTTGTATGCATAAATAAGTAAATTTTTAAAAAAATAATCTATTATTGCACCAATATTGAACTGTTTTTAATTCTTGAATTAAATAATAGAATTAATATTTAAATAAGCAATATTTAAAAATAAGTAATTAATGAAATGTTTAATAATGATATTTATTAATCAATGACTCCATGGATTAATTTAGGGAAGACTGACACATCTGAATAGGATTAGGTCTTGCTAGCAAAGAACAGGAATTCTCCTTGCTCTTCATATCTTT